AGTTTGCCTGAAAAAGGCCTAACACTATGACTAAGGCCAGTTTCATGTTTCCCTAAGTTGTGAATGCCTGCTAATTTATCTCAGTTTAATGTAGATCCCATCTTATCAGGGTACTATGATATTTTATTTGAGGACATTTGAAGAGATGAAGATTGTTTAAAGTAGTATTTTTAGTTGTGTTAATGTAAATTATAGAAATCTATATAGCTGTAATTTTGAACTACTGTTGAGCATCTTAGCTCTTTGTTTAATCTTTTAATAGACATATTATGCATGTTGAAGAATATCTCTGTTTAAGTAATTTATAAAATGAAGGAATGAATGAACAACAATATTTATTGTGCAACTTGAGAAATAGTTTTGAAGCATCCTTACTTGTACGTTATATGTACTTGTAATGAAAATGAACAAAATTAAATGTGTTACACACATTAAATGTGTGTTAACTCTTCATAAGAAATGTAGTGTAGGGAAGTAAGTTCATGCTCTGATATACATAGTTACTCTACTCTAATAAATTAGAGATTCATAAAATATAAAAAGAAAAACATAGATGCATAGTAAAGAAGAAAATATCCAAATGGACTAGAGATAGACCAGAAAGTGATTAACCAGTCTAGAGCCATGGAAGCAGCAGTGTAATAAGGATAAAAGTGTATTATGTTTGATAAGGGGCCAGAGTGGGTCTCACTTCTTGAATCCAAGAGAAGCAATGAGGACCATCAACTAGTTTAAAAAAGAAAAGAAGAAAGGTTTCATTTAAAAAATACTGCCTACCAATTCTTGCAGTTATACCTTGTTAGAAGCTGCAGACCAAAGGAGAGAGATGGACAAATGCTCAGATGGAAACTGACATTCAGAGTATCACTGCTGCACACCATTAAGGCACCTTTAAAATTATAGTTATGGCCCAGGGCCTGGGATCAAAGAGAAGTGATTTCAGAACCATTAGGGATAGAGCACTGAACTCAATAGGAAAGAAGAGAAAGAAATAGAATAGATTTTACAAGGCAAAACAAAGCTCTTCCACTTAAATGTATAACCCAAAATTTCAAAATATACTGTCTTTGGGAATTTATTGTGGCTAATGAAAAATTTTGTTATTATTTTTAAAAATAATCTCTGGGGGGGGGTTCTGAAGATTCTTAAAGACTCTCATTCTTGTTACATATCTATTGGATTTTGGGTTTTTTTTTCCTGTTTGGGACCAAGAATATACTCACAGCTAATAGTTTAAGTTCTGGATTCTCTGAACTCATTATTTAAAATTTTCTTCTGTGTATGCATAAATGAGCCACACTTTCCAATTAAAAGAGAGACTCTATCAAATTGTTTGACTTTTAAAATTGACATTTTGAGGCTGGGCATGGTGGCACATGCCTGTAGTCCCAGCACTTGGGAGGCTGAGGTAGCCCCTACCTGGCAAACATAAGGTCCTGAGTTTAATTCCCAGTACCCGCCCCCCCAAAAAAATTAGCATGTAAGGCAATAAATATTGTGATTTTTAAAAGCAAACTGATCATAATTATAGAAAGAACATATAACCAAAAGGATATAAAACAATGAGCATCTATCACCTAAAAATACAGTATTCTGGAAGGCAGGAGGATCAAAACCTCAATCTCAGTCTAGGCAATTTATCAACTTAGTGAGACCTTGTATGAAAATTTAAAAATTAAAATAAAAGGGCTGGGATGTAGCTCAGTACAAAGGCTCTGGGTTCAATCTCAAGTACTGGAAAAGGAATAGAATAGAATAGAATAGAATAGAATACAATACAATACAATACAATACAATACAATACAATACTAAGAGATTTTAATGTAATTCTATAAGAAATAATAGATCTCACAGGCAGAAAATCAGTCAGCATAGAGACTTGAACAACAGAATATATAAACTTAAAACAGGTTCAGACATTTGGTGTATGTGCTTGGCTGAGAACCTACAAACTTAATGTAATCAATCTGTAGAAAATCTTATACACAACAAAAATAGAATGGCCACTTTCTATATGAATGTTTGAAGAATATAAAATAATCTACTACCTAGTCATCACAAACAAGAGCCCAACAAGTTTCAGAGTCTCAATAATATACATACGTGATAATATGTGCTTAAATCATAAAGCCAAGATTTCAAAAATAGTAAAAATAAACTGTTTAAAGAGAGGCATGACACTACATAAATAGTCACCCAGCTATCTCCGATGATAAACCCAGTCCACACATGTTGTTATGTGAATAACCACAAGTAGGACCAGCAGAAAAACTGATCCAAACCCACATGGTAGATTACTGAACAAATAAAACTATGTTGTTTTAGGTAGCTGAATTTTGGGGTGTCTCATTATATAGCAAAGGTAACTGAAGCAGTATGCATACAATTTGACCTGGCAGTTCCATTTTCCAGTTAATATTCTAAGCCTAGAGAAATATGTACCCAAGGAGGAGGTATGTCCAGTAAGGCTCATTCCTTGTTATCTGCAATAACAAAGAGAGAAAGTGGAGGGAAAAAGGAGAAGAAGTCAAAAGAAAACAAAGAACTGTGAAAGAAATAATCTAATATCCTAATATAGACATATGAGAAATAAATCTTGGTATTTTTACAAAATAGCATATTATACAGCCATCAAAATGTTCAACATAAATAAATCTCAGAAGTCTAATATTGAGAAAAGAATTCAGTGCAGAGTAAATGTGGCAAGCTACAATTTTTAAGAATTTCAAATAGGCAAAAATGCATGAATGCATGTATATTCAGTTAAAAATGAAATATATTGGTTGGGGATATAGCTCAGTGGTAGAACACACGACAAGGCCCGGAGTTTAATTTCCAGCACCTCAAAGGAAAATAAAAATAAAAACATGGATGGAAATAATAAATGCTAAATATATTCTGGATATTGGTGCCTTCTTTTGCCATAAAAAATTATTATTATAATGACAGCCAAATTTTACATATCTTAATTTGTAGACTTGATAATAGAATATGTCAATACCAATTTGCTGATTTTATTATATTTTTAAAGAGAGAATGATACTGATTTTAAGAAATGTGCAGTGAAGTATTTAAAAGTAAAGGGGCATCATATCTGAAACATATTCTGGGCCAGGAAAGAGAAAGAATAAAAACACAATATTTGGGCAATGTGATTGAACAGTACAGTGGATCCTTCTACCCTAGGGTTTCATATCCATAGATTCAAACAACCAGACTGCAAATGTTTGGGAAAAATAGATCCGTACTGCACATGTACAGACTTTTCTCGTCATTATTCCGCAAACACTATGGTCCAATAAAAATCTACATAACGTTTATGTTATATTAGGCAGCATATGTAACCCAGAGATGATTTAAAGAATACAGCTTATACACAGAAACTATATCATTCCAGTATGTGACTTGAGAATCCTCAAATTTTGATATGCATGAGAGCTCTGGAACAAATCCCCCCCACCTCAGATACCAAGAAATGTATATGAGAATTCTGTGTACTTTTTGTGTTAACTTTTCTGAAAATCTAGAATTACTTTTTTTGAGAGAAGATCTCTCTTTGTAATTCAGGCTGGTCTTGAGCTCACTGTGTAGTCCAGGCTGGCCTTGAACTCACAGCGATCCTCTTGCCTCAGCCTCCAGAGTGCAAGGACTACAAGTTTGCATCACCATGCCTGACCTGAAAGTCTAAAATTATTGAAAACAGAAGTTCAAAACTGATCTCATTGAAATACAGCAAGATGTTAAAATTTGATAAAGTCAGCTGATCTGCACACAGACTGGTTATAGTATATTCTATACTCATCCGCGTGTTTGAAATTTTTCAAAATATATTTTTTTTGAAATAAGCATACTATGGGTAAGTACATAAAAATGAAGCAGGAGTAAGAATACATCCATGGAATATATTTTACACCCTTGGGAAATACTAAATATCAGAGCAAGGACTTAGTAACCACAAACAACTTCAGGGGATTGATTCCTAATGTAGATTCCTAATCTTCTTCATGATCAAGCTTTGTCTGATAGAGCCATCTTCCATTTCTACGATGTTCCATTCTCACATCCAAGTGTTCCTTCTGAATTTCTAGAACACTGCTCCTGTCTCTTTATTGATCCAGTCCTACCCATTAGGATTCAGCTTCAATCACTTCCCGGAAAAGCCTTTCCTGACTCCCAAACACAGACACCTTTCCTACACAGGTTCCCATTACCTAGCATTTCCCTGTAGATGTAAAAGCAGTTGTCATACTCAATAATAATATTTTCTTTATGTTTTTATGCCGTCTCCCACCCTGCAAGCCTCCTAAGAATAGGTTCACTGTGTTCATCTCCACCATCAACCACACCATGTGTTAATTAAGTGTCTTGTGTTTCAATAATTTAAATACAGGCTTGGAAGTAATGCTAGGCCACTGAGCACAGAAATTCAAAACATATAACCTTAGAAGAACGTGTAGCTAATGTTTTTAATTGATCTTTTTTATCTCACTACACACACACACACACACACACACACACACACAAATGTTTGGAGTAAGGGCATTGCTTAATGCCTTGAGTATTCAATAATTCAATTGAATGCCTTGAGTATTCAGTAAGGTCACATTTACACAGCATTTCTTATTCTAATTTAAAGATTCCTGCCTTAAAACAGTTACTTAAGTGTTTTAGCACTTTAAGATTCTAAATCAACTTGAAAGTCTGAGGCGAACACAAACATGAAAGGACTTGGGTTTGCCTGAGCGGGTGCAGAAACTGGCTGCGCCTCTGAGCGTCGCTGTTGACCACCTAAGGAGTAAGAAGCGAGCCAACCGTCTCCGTTCCTGCAACACAAAGAACCAGGCATCTGGACCGTAAGCTTCAGGGTGGCAGAGAAATTCTGTCCAGCAGCTCAGTAATTCTCTCCAGAGTGACTTGGATCCTGTGGATTCTGGTCGTCTCAGGCCCTGGGGAATAAAGAGTGGAATCCCTCACTGAAAGCTGGAAGTTGACTTGGAGAAAACACCGCGGCAGCAGGGAAATGGCGACTCTGCAGAAGCTACTGCACTGTAGAAGGCTAGTCCTATTGTGGCTTCTTTTGGCGGTCCTATGGGAGGCTGGAGCTGGGCAGATTCGCTATTCTGTGCCAGAGGAGCTCGACAAAGGCTCCATCGTGGGCAATATAGCCAAAGACTTGGGTTGGGAGCCCCTGGCTCTGGCAAAGCGCGGAGTCCGCATCGTCTCCAGAGGTAGGACTCAGCTTTTCTCTCTAAACCCGCGCAGCGGCAGCTTGGTCACCGCGGGAAGGATAGATCGGGAGGAGCTGTGCGCTCAGAGCGCGCCGTGTCTGGTGAACTTTGACATGCTACTGGAAGATAAACTGACTATTTATTCAGTAGAGGTGGAAATAACAGATATTAACGACAATGCCCCTCGTTTTGGAGTAGATGAACTGGAGCTAAAAATCAGTGAAACGACTACTCCAGGATTCCGGATTCCTCTTAAAACTGCTCATGATATGGACATAGGAGAGAACTCTCTACAGAAATATGAACTCAACTCAAATGATCACTTCTCTTTGGATATGCGAAGTGGAGCTGATGGGAACAGGTATCCGGAGCTGGTACTGGAGCACGCTCTGGACCGCGAGGAAGAATCTGTTCACTATCTCGTTCTTGTCGCTTCTGATGGGGGCGACCCGGTCCGATCTGGCACCTGCCGCATCCGCGTGAAGGTCCTGGATGTGAACGATAACGCTCCTATTTTTACACAGCCCGAGTACCGTGTAAGTGTTCCGGAGAATATGCCAGTAGGCACCCGAATACTCACGGTGACCGCCACTGATGCAGATGAGGGATACAACGCTCAAGTGGCATACTTTCGAGAGAAACCCTTTGGAGAAACCTCCGAGGTATTTGAGCTTCAGTCAGCTTCTGGAGATATAACAATCATCAAAACTCTAGATTATGAGGATGCTAAATTCCATGAAATTGATATTGAAGCTCAGGATGGTCCGGGCCTTCTGACCAGAACGAAGGTGGTTGTCACGGTTCTGGATATGAATGACAATGCCCCAGAATTTTACATGACGTCTGTTACTAGCTCGGTTCCTGAAGACTCTCCTCCAGGAACAGTAATTGCACTTTTCAACGTACACGACAGAGACTCTGGGCAGAATGCTTTTATCACATGTTCTCTCCCAGAGAAACTTCCCTTCAAGTTAGAAAGGTCAGTCGACAATTACCACCGACTGGTTACAACCAGAGCCCTTGACAGGGAACAGTTTTCCTTTTACAACATCACAATAACTGCTGAAGATGGAGGGAATCCATCTCTGTCCACAGATGCTCACATTTTCCTGCAGGTGACAGATATTAATGATAACCCGCCAGCCTTCCCCCATGCATTCTACTCCGCCTTTATTCCTGAAAACAACCCCAGAGGTGCCTCCATCTTTTCAGTATTGGCCCATGATCCTGACAGTGATGACAATGCCCATGTAACTTACTCTTTGGCCGAGGGCACCCTTCAAGGAGCACCCCTGTCCTCTTACATCTCTATCAACTCTGACACTGGAGTCCTCTATGCTCTTCGCTCCTTTGATTATGAGCAATTCCAAGACCTGCAGCTGCAGGTGATAGCGCTGGACAGCGGGAAACCTCCACTCAGCAGCAATGTGTCGTTGAGCCTCTTCTTGGTAGATCAGAATGACAATGCACCTGAGATCCTGTACCCGACCCTCCCAACAGATGGTTCCACTGGTGTGGAGCTGGCACCCCGCTCAGCAGAGCCTGGTTACCTGGTGACCAAGGTGGTGGCAGTGGATCGAGACTCAGGACAGAACGCCTGGCTGTCCTACCGGCTACTTAAAGCCAGCGAGCCAGGGCTGTTCTTGGTGGGGCTGCACACAGGCGAGGTACGCACTGCAAGAACCCTACTGGATAAAGATGCACTCAAGCAGAGCCTGGTAGTGGCTGTGCAGGATCATGGCCAGCCCCCTCTCTCTGCCACTGTCACACTCACTATAGCTGTGGCTGACAGCATCCCTGATGTCCTGGCAGACCTGGGCAGCATCAGGACCCCCACCAACCCTGATGATTCAGATCTCACACTCTACCTGGTGGTGGCCGTGGCTGCTGTCTCCTGCGTGTTCCTGGCCTTTGTAATTGTGCTGCTGGTGCTCAGGCTTCGGCGCTGGTATGCATCACGCCTGCTTCAAGCTTCAAGAGGTGGGTTGGCAGGCGTGCCTACCTCACACTTTGTGGGTGTGGATGGGCTGCATGCTTTCCTGCAGACATATTCCCATGAGGTCTCCCTCACCTCAGACTCGCGGAAGAGCCACATTATCTTTCCTCAACCCAACTATGCTGACACTCTCATCAGTCAGGAGAGCTGTGAACAAAAGGATTTTCTACCAGCACCTCAGTCTCTACTCAATGACAAAGGAGAAGAAATAGCACAGGTAAACTATCTTTTCATAATATGCTTATTATGTATTTTGCTAAAATAAACTTAGCTATTTAGTTACTTTCACTGTTTATTATCTCTGTTTTATTTCTCATTGTATCCTTAAGGATATATTCAATTTTAAGGAAATGAATCCTGATAAATTACATCTAGATAATTTTAAGTATTCTTAGGCTGTAGGAGATAGGAGGAGCAAGAATCATTGTGTAATGAGTGTAAAGCACAAGTTAGTAGATAAATATGATATTTAGATTATCAAAAGAACTTAGGTATTAGAGTGTGTTTCTAATACTTTATTTTCTACCCCTAGGCAAATCATCTCATCTGCCCGGATCAACAATTCTTTCTGTCTTAAAAATATGAAGATTGGGAATGTGGATGTAGCTCATGATAGAGTACTTGGCTAGCATGCACAAGGCCCATGTTCAATCCCCAGCATTTATATATTTACTCAGGTTTCTTCCTCCTTTAAAATGTAGGAAGTTTTGTTTTATATTTGAATCTGTTATGAATATTGAAACATCGTAGTGGACCAGTTCTTTCTCATTTGATCTTAATATTTTTAGTTTCACAGTGGTTTTCATTTTCCTTAATTTGCATGTGAATCCCTATTAAAAAGATGAAATATTTAAATATGCATCTTTTTCAATAATAGGAATCAAGCATAGGGTTTTGTGCATATTAGCTAGGCAAGCACTGTACCACTGAGCTATATCCATGTCCCTACATTGTGAGTGTGCACGCAGGTGTGTGTGCATGTGTGAGCAAGTGTTCTAGATTGAACCAGAGCCTCACTTAGCATTCCATCACTGAGCTACAACCGCAGACCACAAATATATATTCATTATGGTATTTCAGAAAGGTATGCCATGGTATTGATGCTTAGTTAGAAATCACATGAAAGTTATACTGTGTTATTTGAAGAACTGACTGACATTGCTTGCTGTATAAAAATTAGTAAAGTAATACTAAACAGCTTTCTTTTGGCTGTATTTTTTTCATTTACCTTGTGTGTGGAAACCATGCTACTTTTATCTTTAAAAATAATCTACAGTATATCTTCAGTGTAAGTTTGCTTAATGAAAAGGTGGAAGGGGTTCAGAGACCATGTCATATAATTTCTCTTAAAGATCCTCTTTATACATCTTGTCAGATTTTCCTATTCATAGCAGCTGCTTAAAATGTTCCCCATCCTTCACTCAACCCTATTCCCTCTCACAACTGCAGTTTTCCTCCCCAGTTCCTCTTCCCATGTTGACTGTCAGTATGTTGGTCCTGTATTTAATAACAGAAAACAATGGACACTAATATTCTATGTGCTGGGATAATTTTTATTTTGATTTAGAAGTAATTATGTACTAATTGAGTACATAATGCAAGGGGCTGTGATTCTTTATTATGTGTAAGAGCATCTGATAAGTGAAATTTTGAGAAAATGTACCCTATTGTGCTCATTACTATTACATAGCTTTCTTTGAGGTTAGATTGGAACTCAGTGTGAAATATTATGTCATAATATATTTTCTTTTAAGTGAATAACTCAGTGTAAACAGAGGAAAATTAAATACACATTCCCTTTTAAAGTGTATGTGCTAACTCCATAAGAATAAATGCTTTATCATTGGGTATGCAAGACATCATGAGTGAAATGACAAATACTATATGTTGCGCTTCTATTTCTGTGCTTGAGGAAAAACATACAGAGAAAATGATTCTTCAACAAAAACCAAAAAATTATCTCTACTAGTTTCACCTGTGGTTTTAAAAAATCATCTTCACACTCTTGACTTAGGCAAAGTTAATTTCTTTCAGTACCCTGATGCTCTGTGATTTCTGCCTCACATTTAGACACTGCCAAGGTATTCTGTCACATCCAGGCTTTTTCCCTGACCACTCCCTTTATGTTTCCTGAGGAGGCCTTTGTTAACCTCCAGGCAGGATGGGGGCCTCCCGTCCCCTTGGCTCTCCTATTATAGTAGTTAGCTTGATGCATTGTAATTTCTTGTTTGCTTTACATCCTCATAAACGTTGTGATGGACGTGGCTATCTCTATACTGTTAAACTTAAATCCCCAAACATAGTCTGACAGCCAATTATGTGTTTGTTTAATCAGTTAGTTAAATGACAAATGTTGAAACCAAGATGTCAGGCTATCAAGGACAAACTTCAAAAATTGTAATCTATAAGTACAGCTGGTATTTCTGTGTGGTTCTTGAACTGAGTATTGAGGAACCATAACGCTACCATATTTGAAGCAATATCGGTGGGGTCAGTGTTGGGGTATGACTTCCTAATGAAGATAATTTGAAATCACAATATATATCAATTCAATTATATGAAATCAGTACTAGTTTCCTTACCTCCGACAAAAAGAATTTCAGACCTTAGAAAACTAGTTTGTCTCACTGTATGCAGTAAACGGTTAAGCCTCTGAGTGTCGCTGTTGACCACTCAAGGAGAAAACGCGCTGAGGCACCTAGTCCACCATTTCCTTTCTCTTAAAACGCAAAGAACTAACACAGACTGAAGCGATTCCGGCAAGCTCACCCCATAAATCAACCGGCTCTGTGACCTATGCATTAAGCCCATGAAAGACTTACTTCTTTGAGGAAATAAGATTGGAGTCCATCGTGGAAAACTGGAACAGAATTGAGAGAAAATAATTTACCAAAAAAGAAATGACCCATTGCCTGAGATTTCGAAACAGCGGAGGGCTTGCTCTGCTGTGCGCGCTCCTGGGGATGCTGTGTGAGATAGGATCTGGACAGATCCGCTACTCGGTGCCTGAAGAGTTGGAGAAAGGCTCCTTCGTGGGCAGCATCGCCAGGGACCTGGGGCTGGAGCCCCAGGAGCTGGCAGAACGCGGAGTCCGCATCGTCTCCAGAGGTAAGACCCAGCTCTTTGCTGTGAATCCGCGAAGCGGCAGCTTGGTCACGGCAGGCAGGATAGACCGGGAGGAGCTGTGCGCCCAGAACCTGCGGTGTACGGTAAAATTTAACATCCTGGTTGAGGACAAATTGAAAATTTTTGAAGTAGAAGTAGAAATTAAAGATATTAATGATAATGCTCCTAATTTTCTAACAGAGGAATTGGAAGTAAAAATTGGTGAACTAACAGTTCCTGGAACTCGATTTCCACTTAAAACTGCTTTTGACCCAGATGTGGGCTTGAATTCCTTGCAGAACTACAAGCTCAGCCCTAATGAGTACTTCTCCCTGGCTGTCAATAGTGTCTCTGATGGGGCCACGTACCCAGAGTTAGTGCTGGAGCGAGCCCTGGACCGTGAGAAAAAAGAAGTTCATCAGCTTGACCTCACTGCCTCTGATGGTGGTGACCCTATCCACTCTGGCAATTTGTGTATCCAAGTGATAGTTCTGGATGCAAATGATAACCCACCAGTGTTTACTCAGCCTGAATACCATGTAAGTGTTCAGGAGAATGTGCCAGTGGGCACACAGCTGGTCACAGTGAATGCCACTGACCCTGATGAGGGATTCAATTCTCAAGTGACCTATATCCTAGATAGAATGCCTGGCAAAATTGCTCAGATTTTCGATCTCAACTCAGTGACTGGAGACATATCATTATTAAAAAGTCTAGATTATGAGGATTCTATGTTCTATGAAATAAAAATTGAAGCACAAGATGGCCCAGGTCTTCTTTCAAGAGCCAAGATTCTAGTCACAGTTCTGGATGTGAATGACAATGCCCCAGAGGTTACAATCACTTCCCTCACAGGCTCAGTCCCTGAAGAAGCTACTGCTGGAAGAGAAATTGCTCTTATCAATGTGCATGACCGAGATTCTAGGCAGAATGGACAAGTCACAGTTTTTGTTCTAGGAAATCTGCCTTTTAATTTAGAAAAATCAATAGACCAATATTACCGCTTAGTGACAGCTGAATCTTTAGACCGAGAACAAGTATCTGAGTATAACATCACTCTGAAAGCCACAGATGGGGGAAATCCACCTCTGTCCACAGAAACTCACATTACTTTACATGTAGCAGATATCAATGACAATCCACCTGCCTTCTCTGACGCCTCCTACTCTGCCTACATTCTGGAAAATAACCCTAAAGGAGCCTCCATCTTCTCAGTGACTGCCGAGGACCCAGACAGTGACAAAAATGCCCAAATCACTTATTCATTGACTGAGGATACACACCAAGGGGCACCGCTGTCCTCCTACATCACCATCAACTCTAACACTGGTGTCCTTTATGCACTGTGTTCTTTTGACTATGAAGAATTTAGAGACCTGCAGCTAGTGGTGACAGCCAGTGACAGTGGGAACCCTCCACTCAGCACCAACGTGTCAATGAGCTTGTTTGTGTTAGATCAGAATGACAACATGCCTGAAATCCTATATCCAACCCTCCCAACAGATGGTTCCACTGGTGTGGAGCTGGCACCCCGCTCTGCGGAACCTGGATACCTGGTGACCAAGGTGGTGGCAGTGGACAGAGACTCAGGACAGAACGCCTGGCTGTCCTATCACCTACTCAAGGCCAGCGAGCCAGGGCTGTTCTCCGTGGGGCTGCACACGGGGGAGGTGCGCACAGCAAGAGCCCTGCTGGACAGAGATGCCCTCAAACAGAGCCTCGTGGTGTCTGTGCAAGACCACGGCCAGCCCCCTCTCTCAGCCACTGTCACACTCACTGTAGCTGTAGCTGACCGCATCCCTGACGTCCTAGCAGACCTGGGCAGCATTGGGACCCCCACCGACCCTGATGATTCAGACCTCACGCTCTACCTGGTGGTGGCTGTGGTTGTTGTCTCCTGTGTTTTTCTGGGATTTGTCATCGTGCTTCTGGCGCTCAGGCTGCGGCGTTGGCACACGACTCGCTTTCTTCAGGCTGCGAGCAGCGGATTGGCTGGAGCGCCAGCGTCACACTTTGTGGGCGTGGACGGGGTGCGCGCTTTCCTGCAGACCTATTCCCATGAGGTCTCACTCACCTCGGATTCGAGAAAGAGCCACCTCATCTTCCCACAGCCAAACTATGCGGACACCCTCATCAGCCAGGAGAGCTGTGAGAAAAGCGAGCCTCTTTTGGTGTCTCAAGATTTGCTTGAAACAAAGAGGGATCCTACGCTACTTGAGGTGAGTCATTTCTCTTTTTGAATGTCATGCAAAACAAGTATGCCAAGATGATTATTATAAAGGTTTAACACACGTTTGAGAAATAAAGTAATGACGTTGTCTTTAGTTCTGTCCTGTAAATACTTGTTCCTCTCTCTGTACTTTTTGTCTTGGTTATTCCAGTTGTGGGCCTAAGTAACTAGTTCTGTCAAAACATGAGTGCCAGGTACCATACATCTCTTCCTGGAAAGGTTGAAATTGCCATTGTGAAGATTTCCAGATCTTTTTTAAATTGTGGCTGCTCCTTCTACCTGTGTCCTTGAGTAACTATAATGAGAGAAGAGCCCTGTGGTTGATCCAACATTGTTCTGTATACTTGTGATAAATAGGTCTTTTACAATTTATTTTGTTTTGGTGTTGGGGACTAAACATAGAGCCTTGGTGCAAGCTGAGCCTGGTCTCTCTTCCTGAGCTACACCCCTCGCCATACGTTTTAAATCCCTGTGATATGAATTTTCTCACTCCTGCCTGCCAAGCTTATGTTGCATTATACAAACAAGTTGTAAATATGTATAAATACAAGATGTTTTATGATCTTCTTCCAAACTAGACCATACTCTTCTCACCTAAACACATAAAAATTGTATTGTGAAAATATAGACATTATTCAATTACTTTAACTTTTAGTCCCTAAAGTAAGTATGTGAGTGTGTGAGTGTGTGAGTGTGAGTGTGTGTGTGTGTTCTCATTAATTTCAGCCTTTTGCTTGAATGTGGAAAGTTCACTTGAACGCATCATTATGAGCCTTGGAGTGGTATTTATTGCCCTTTGAGGGGGATTTTGTAAAAAGCAGAGTGGTATGTCTCAGTCTTTGGAAATATTTCCAGAGGGTAAAAAAAAAAAAAAATGAAATTGTATCTTAGAAAACAGGTAATAGTCTTTTCAACTGGGGTATAAGTATGCACTGCAAAATAATAGAATAAATTGCTGTGTTGGCATCTGTCTTGATCTATTTCTGTTGCTATAACAAAATATCTGAGATTGTATAATTCATAAAGAATAGAGGTTTATTTAGCCAGTGGTTCTGGAAGCTGGGAAGTCCAAGAGCATGGTGCTATCATCTAGTCAGCATCTGGTAGTGCTTTCTTGCAAGATCATACATGACAGAGAGCATCACATGACAAAGAAAATGAGTCAGACACAGCTCCTTTTACAACAAAGCCACTCATTTGATAATCCATTTATAGGTCAATTTATTAATGAAGGAAGAGCTCTCATGACTCATTCATCTCACAAAAGTTCCATTTCTTAATATTGTAACCTGTTGTTTGTGGTCTAGGTTTCCAACAAATGAAATTTGGGGGATGAAATCAAACTAACTGTATCTAATTTGGTAGTGCTCTTGAAATAAAAGGATTTGTTTGCATGAGTACCCAAGACCAGGATCAGTTTTTAAAGTCTAAGAAATATCAACATCTCTCCAATATTTACCAGTGATCAAGTCAAACTCATTTAATTCATTACTAGGATAAATTCATTGGAGCTGGAATTGCAGTTATCAAGTTGCAACTGCATTCCTATAGAAAGAAAGTGCTGATTTCATAAAAATAAATATGGCTTACACAAAGTTCAGTATTATGAAAGCATATGTATCCAAATATTAAGTTGGTTCCTTTAATGAAAGATTAAACTCTGTTCTATTGGGCAGGAATATTATGTTTTATAAAGGAAAGCGATATATTGAAATAATTTCAGAGGCTTGACTCCCTCTTCTTTTTTTTTTGCAAAGACTACATACCAGACAGTATATATGGAGAAATTTAAATCCTAAATAAGGGAAGTTATTCCCGTGAATTTGAAGAAAGGATCATAGTTCACTTAAAAACTAAATAAAATCCATTCACTTATTTGGATATATCAGACATGCCTGAATTTATAAACACCATCCAGTAAAATCACTAGAAGATATTTTTGCCTCAAAACTGAAAAAAATAACTATGCCTCATGAAATGAAAAAGAAGAATGTAAAATGATTAAGATGTTTATGAGATGATGACAAACAAGGAAATGTCAAATTTATGGAGAAATGTAAATATTTTATTCTTTCAAGCAAATTAAAAGACAAAGTAGTAAAATCAAGTTTGCACATTGAGGATGAATAGCTGGGCAGTCCGCAGTTTTCCAAGACAACCTCTGGGCGCCGCTGTTGGCCAAAGGGAAGAGAAGGGTTGTCAGTTCTGCAGGAAGAGGCTAGCCAGTGCTTTCTTCCTTTATCCTGCATATTTCAGAACCGGGTAACTGCTCTTGTGCACCCTCAAACATCTAACAAACAAATGATACCCTCAAATCACAAGAGTCCAGGGTTTTGTCACTGACCTTAAAAGCAATCCGAGGGAAACCGTGAAAAGAAGCTCCTAGGAGAGAAAAAGAAATACAGAGAAGCTCCAGAGAAGCTGAAACGATGAAAAGTCAGGTACTGTTTCCCTTCCTGCTTTCTTTGTTTTGCGGGGCCATCTCCCAGCCAATCCTCTACTCCATTCCGGAGGAGCTGGCCAAGGGCTCTCGGGTGGGGAACCTTGCCAAGGATCTTGGGCTCAGTGTCCAGGAGTTGCCAGCTCGAAAACTACGGGTTAGTGCAGAGGATTATTTCAGTGTGAGTGTGGAGAGTGGGGACTTGTTAGTGAGTGGCAGGATAGATAGAGAGAAGATCTGTGGAAGTAAATTTGAGTGTGCGCTGGAATTTGAATCAGTCACTGAAAATCCAATGAATATTTTCCATGTGATTGTTGTAATCCAAGATATTAATGACAATGCACCACATTTCATTGCAAAAAGCATTGAATTAGCAATCTGTGAGTCAGCCTTACCAGGGGTAAAATTCCCTCTGGATTCTGCACAAGATGCAGATGTAGAAAGTAACTCAGTGAAGATATACACCATCAACCCCAATCAACATTTCTCTCTGTCAACAAAGGAAAGTCCTGATGGAAGTAAATACCCAGAATTACTGCTGGAAAAACCTTTAGACAGGGAACATCAGAGCTCCCATCATTTAATCTTGACTGCCATTGATGGCGGGGACCCACCTCTAAGCAGCACCACACAGATCTCGATCAAAGTTACTGATGCCAATGATAATGCTCCGATGTTCAGTCAGGACATATATAGAGTTACCCTCCAAGAAAACATGCCCCCAGGAACTTCTGTGCTTCGGGTGGTGGCCACAGACCAGGATGAGGGTGTTAATGCAGAGATCACCTATGCCTTCCTCAATGCCCCAGCAAGCACTAGCCTCCTCTTCAATCTCAATCCAAACACCGGCGATATCACAACCAATGGTACATTGGACTTCGAAGAAAGAAGTAGACACATTTTGGGTGTAGAAGCCAAGGATGGAGGAGTGCACACGGCTCACTGTAATGTTCAGATTGAAATTGTTGATGAGAATGACAACACTCCAGAGGTGACGTTCATATCATTTTCTAACCATATTCCAGAGGACGCAGACCTTGGAACAATAATAGCCCTCATTAAAGTGACAGACAAAGACTCTGGGCAAAATGGTCTGGTGATGTGCTATATCCAGGAAGAAATTCCCTTCAAATTAGAATTCACCTCCAAGAATTATTACAAGCTGGTCATTCAGAAGGCCCTGAACCGGGAAGAGACCTCAGAATACAACATTACCTTCACAGCCACTGATAAAGGGAAACCGTCCCTTTCCTCTAGGACAAGAGTCACCCTGCATATCACCGACATCAATGACAATGCACCTGTTTTCCAGGAGGCCTCCTACGTGGTCCATGTGGCAGAGAATAATCTGCCTGGAGCCTCAATTGCGCAGGTCAGAGCCTCTGACCCGGATCTGGGACTCAACGGCCAGGTCTCCTATTCCATCGTGGATAGCGACCTGGAACCTAGAGCGCTGCTGTCCTACGTGTCTGTGAGCGCACAGAGCGGCGTGGTGTTCGCGCAGCGCGCCTTCGACCACGAGCAGCTGCGCGCCTTCGAACTCACTCTGCAGGCCCGCGACCAGGGCTCGCCCGCGCTCAGCGCCAACGTGAGCCTGTGCGTGCTGGTGGGAGACCGCAACGACAACGCGCCG